ACACCCCTTTAACTTAGGTTCCACTAAGTTGAAGGATTGCTCTATCTTTTCGAATGTGATGATCAGCGACCTGTTCAAAATTCAATAGATGGGGCACGTTTGCATATGCTCAGTGGATTGTAAAGGTATAGATGGTTATGAAATGCTGTGTACCATTTTTTTTATATCACCAGAGGATGCCGAAGTCGTCAATGATGACGCACCGATCTATTCTCGAGGTAAGAACTTACCACCTGTGCCAGATACACGAATTATTCAAATTCAAAAAGGAAACAAAGTAAAGATTTTCTGAATTTGTAATTTACACATAATAGCGGCTGGTTTGCAAAAGTATATTAACGTTTGATTTCTTTGTCGTCAGACTGTTTTTTGTCAGAGCCAACCTGCCTACCTGCCTTACTGTCAAACAAATTTACATCAGCTTACAACTGAAAAGTAAAAAGCGAATCAATTTTAGGCCAAAACAAACTAAAAAGACAATGCATAAGCTAAGAGTCTATTGAAAAGTGATAAATCAAGATATTTCAATACCCCCACAATCGTGATGCAATTTGTAATTAAAGAAGCAAAAAAAATGCTATTCTATTAACACTCCTGTACGTCCGCCGACACGATTGGATAGTATGTATCGATGTTAATTATCACCTTAGTGAAAAGGCTGGGTTAAGTTTTCGTATTGACATGAATGGCATTACACACTGGCAGGATGGAGCGTCTCTTTATGTACAACACCATTGCGCATGGAGCACTGAGGAGGGGAATACGAGATGCATCCAGCTCATGCTTCGTTGTTTTTTATAAAATAATTAAAATAGTACGCCCGCTCTGATTGGCCATAAAACCATTTTACATGAGCGTATGTAAACACGGTTCTCGTTCCTCTTTCATTAGCTATTTTATAAAAGAAATGTAAAATGGTTTCCGTGTTTACATAGCCTACACGGAAACCATTTTACTCCGCTTCGCGTCGTGGTTTTACGCTTCTCCCAAGTGTTTACATCAGGTTATGTAAACACGGAAACCATTTTACATTTCTTCTTTGGAAAGAGATCACTGATCTAGGCACATTATCCTGAAGCAAATTTTCGTCAAGGAACCTGGATAAAATTGGCAGAACTAATTAAAAAATATATATCAAGAATATAAAAAGACAGCAAATTTTTCGATATATCTTAGTTTTCTTCCTCCCTCTCTCTTGTAATTTCTCTCTCTCTTTCTTGTAAATCACCGCGGATGAGAAAAAGTTTACTCAAGCTTGCTCTTTGTGACTTTAAACTGGTTTTTCTTTCCTATTTTTTGGGTTTTTTTTGGACAGATTGTTTCGACATCAGGTCAACAAAATTCTGCAAACGGTTTCATAATTTCTGTGACAAGGAAGACGGCAATGGGCGTTACATGCGGACTAACTGCCACTTTACTTGTGGATGCTGAGGCTTAGCAGGTATAAAAAGTGGTGTCTTTGTTCATCTCTTCCTCGTGATCTTCAGTTTCCTAGCTCACCGACTGCTATCTGAGAGTAGATGTAAGACTTTTTATATCAAGCTCGTCAATCATAACGAGAGCTTGTTCAACTAAATTTTAGGAAGGATAATAAAATTCAAAAATAAAAACAACAGTGTCACAGAGCTCTCCGTGCACAAGCGTTCGTCACCGTATCCGCACAAGTTCCAATTGGTCATTTCTTCAAATCTGACGTAAAATAAACTTTTTACATTAATGTGGAGGGACATGCTGGAATTTAGTATGTAGTCTACTCAGGTCAGCTTTCATACCGATAGGAACATTGTATCATTGGCTATAGCGGTGAGTAAAAAAGTCCAGTATGACGGACAAGAGGGAGAAAAGAAAAAGGAAAGTAATAACGGAAAAAATATGGTCATTTGAGTGAAAGAATCAAAACGAGTAAGCTGTAGGACCGGTTGTTAAAAAACATACTCAATGAAATTTCATCCTCTATGAGACCCCTTATGGCTGATTTAAAGCGGATCTCCACCAGGGTTTCCCGGCAGCAAAGCGGGTGACTGGGTTTTTGCTACACGCATTTTTTTAATGCAAAAGCTTTTAAGCAAAAAGTTAGTCCTTCGCGGTAATTAAACCTAAATTGTGTATGAGTGTAAGTGTGCAAGTCAAGACGAGACGAGCCAACCAGACGAGCGACACAATTTTTGTTAATCATATTACTATATTTAGGATTAATTTAGTTTGGTTTTTTTTGCAGGCACTTCATTTGCACCTCCCTAAAGAAGACTCAAGATAACATCAATAAGTAAACGAGACTAACTCACGTTTGCAAGTTAATTAAAATTTTTCTTGCAATGCTGTGCAGTGTGAATGTCATCTTTTACTTTACATTTCATGTCTTGGTACGTGCTTAGTCATACAGTGAAACGTTCCGTAAACGATAAGAGGGATTTGTCATTTGGCCTGTAGGCTTCAAGGTTGAAAATTTCGCTGCCGTGGACCCTGTGCACCTCTTTTCAATCATGCATGATTTGAGGCGCCACGAACGCGCATTGTTGTATGCGTGTTCGAATAACAAGTGTTCAGAATTTTAGTTCCTCATAAAATAACGAAAATCGCAACAAAATCATGGAAAGACATTGACACAAACTGGACCTTGACAACTAATCGCATACGATTGTTGATTCAAGGTGGCTTTGAACCTAAACAGCAGATAGACTTTGTTAAGATTCTGAAATAAGATTGATATTGAAATGGAAGTTGAAATTTGATAATACAAAAAACAGGTACGTCAAACTCAAGTCACAGGAGGGGGGGGGGGGGTTTAAAAATGGCTCTAGAGTAGCCATGATAACCTTTTTGTGTTCTGAAAATGATCAAAATCGGTTGAAAAACAGTTAGGCATTTTTAAATATTCTTGCCAGGAAATAATATAAAGGGCGTGGTAGTATCGATCCTTTAAGACATTTACTTTTGAATATGACGAAACGTCAGCCTAAAAGAAATATTTTTGAACTTTCATGCCCGGTAGAAGTGACGATATTCAGGATTGTTGAGGTCCGCCTACGCATAATTGAAAATCTCTCGCCTTTCCACCAATATTACTCAGCATCAGAAGGGCTCCAACACCTGTTTTGAATGGGTGTCTACAGTCTCTGGTACACTGACTGTGATCAATATCGCGATGAGAATACAGAAATGATGAGCCATAAAATGCTCCGATTACTAATTCCAAACGAGACCAGCCTAGATATGCTCTATCATATTACAAACACTACTTGTGGGATGATTGATTTTATACGCCGGCTAGCCAGGGAACCATCAATTTGTATGCAGTCTATGATCTAAACATTCCTTGAACGCGTGAATTAGTGTGATTGTCGTATATTTTTTGGAACGCGTTTAGCTTTAAGAACAGACTAATGTAATTAAAAGGCAATTACGGGAAGACCTACTTCTTATGATTATTGCTTACAAGGATTACACTCAAACACAAAAATTTGATTTTCAAAGAAACGGTGCGCGAAGGAAATTAAATGAAAAATTGTTTGGAATCCCAACCTGCACCCCAGAGAGACAAGCCGTATTTTCCTCAATACCGCCATCTCTCAGTTTGTTTGTGCGCCGATGACTTTGACTTCAAAAAAGTAAAGATGTGGGGACGTTTCCTAGATATCTCTCTTTCTTTTGGTGAATACAACCATCAATCGTGGATAAAAGGTCATCAGGTAGTTCTCAAGCTCTCTAGCCAAACTAGCGAGAGAGGCCGGATAAAGACATGCGTTTATTTAAGGCTCTATGTGGCGATTCACCGAAGTACAAAACAATCTGGGCTCCTATACACGTAAATAGGCCCTTAAACATCGAAGGTACTGTTAAAAGTGCAAAATACTTTGCAAATATATCGCAAACACGTTCATACCTAATCAATAATATTTCAATAGTATTCTTTCCGAATCGCATGAGCGATGTTTTTGATATTTTTTTACATCGTGTCACAAAAACAAAAGAAAATTATGAACTAAAGTAGCATTGGGCAAGCAACTCAGAAGACGCCTGTTATTATTTTACCCAGGGCCTCTCGTCAAGTGTGTCATTTTACTATGCCCGTGCGTTCATCTGCAATTATCTGTTTTTCCATGAGGGTCACGGTCAGCAAAATCATTTTGAGTCACCCTAGTAGGCATTTTTTTTAATTTCCATGCCCAGAAGAAAGGACAATGCTTGGTAGGAAAAGAGTTTTATCGTCTGCCTGCACATGAGTACTTTGTTCGCTTTTTCTCTCGTTTCAGTGAGCATCACTTATATAATTACAGACCGTATGAGATTCCACTAGGTCCTGTGACCATCTTTTCATGTCCTGAATTAAATGACAGCTGAGCAGTTGTGACGCGAGAATTCAAGTTCCAGTTCATGCATAGGCCGTATAATAAAAGTTGGATGAACGATGCCGGAGATGTCACTCACCTTGAGGCCTTGAGAGTTAAAAATTTCGCAGCAAGAACCTTGTGTAGCACGACCCACACGACGATTCATTCATATTAAATGTCCGTGCGCTAATTACGCGTGCAATATTGTGCAATGATATATGACTCCGTGATACAATTGTAAGGTTAATATGTAGCAGCTACCAGTAAGCAGCTGATTAGTGTTTGTCTGAGATGTATAGTGCAGTATGGTGAGGACCTCGAAGGTAATTATTTCGTTGCAAGTGGCATCTTTTTTCATCATATTTTCATTTTCATTTACCTATGAAGTTTTACAATCAGTTTTAAAGAGCCTCGTAGAAGCAAAAAAGAAAATTCACTGCTTGAGTTCTAACATGGGTATTAACCGATAGGGACAAATACTCATCAGGACAAAATTGATTCTGATTATATCGTGAAAAATACAACTGAATGGGGAAGCATATCTGCATACAGTAACTAATCAATTTCTTTCAACATGATAACCTCTCGCGAGGAAGAGCAAAAATATCGCGTTGGTCCTCGCCTTTTGCAAGATTTAATATTAATTTCTAATTGAAACATCGATGATAACACGTTGTCTTTGTAACGCCCGTGATCCTCCCATCTATATCGATCATTACAAGCGTAAAAACTGACAGTGATGGTAAAGTATTCCGTCTTCCCTCTTTTTTTCCTTACCCTAATGTTTATTGGGGTTTTGCTTGCTTCAAATGGGTGAGAATCGTCTTTACTGTCCTTCGAAATTCAATTTATAAGATTTAATGACAAGATTTCTACTTGAATATGTCATCGGCAAATGCATGTTTTTTTTTTCCGTGTAGTTGCAAGTTTCCCGGTGAACTGGAGAATGAGCACAAAAGGTAAACTGAAAGATTAGAGATTTATTGGGTCAAAATTTGGAATTCTAAGCTAACGAAGATGAGACGCGAACCCCAGTTAGGTGATGTGCTGCAGCCGCCTGTTCTTTCAGAGATTACTCATTAAAAGAACTTTTCCTTTTTTTAATCAGTGAGATCTACATATCCTTCTGAAATACAAAAGCGGTAAGAAATGTCTCTAGAAGTACAATGAATTTATGCTTTGTACGCAAGAGGGAGGGTTCAATTTAATCCTCAGTCTATCAATATTTGACTGAGCAAGGTTGTCAATACGTAAATCACTACCACAGAAGACAGTCCTCGTCAGGACCATGTTGAAGGCCTAGATGAAATAACTGACCTAAATGCAATAAATTCCTAAATGTAAAAACATTTGGTTCTTAATGTACTAAACCGTCAAAACAATGAGAACGCTGACCAATACCTCTCTTGATATCATTGGCTCAGACTCTTTAGTGCAATAGATTTTGACGACATACTTGTGTGATTAGTGCTGAACACTTTATGAACCAAATTACAAGGAAAAGGAAGTCCACCGACCAATAAGAAAATATAAAAATTCCGGGCTTGCAAGTGCATTTTTGTGCTGTCTTCCCTTGCCAGATTTGCATAGGTCTGCATGAAATATATTCATATGTGTTACTGACCAAGCGTGAGGGAAAGAGTTCTTTTGTTGCGTTTTTATGGACCGAGACGAAGTCGAGGTCCGTAACAACGCAGAAAAACCAAATGTCAAAGGACCAAATGTTATTACATTTAGGACTTTATTACATTTAGGAAAGTCATTACATTGAGGCCTTCAAGAGACCACTCTCATTCGGAATATCAGACTACACGATTGAACATTAAGAGAGATCTGAATGCCACATATCTTAACCAAAACTATTACTCGATCTTAGCCTAAAAGACAAGTTTATGGAGCTAAAGGGTGACTTGGAGGACACCCGTTCGGCAATAAGGGCAAAGGAAGAGAAAAACCAGTTGACGAAAGAAGTAAGTTTAATTACTCCCATGTTACTCAGATCTCTATCCTTTTTCTGATCATGATTCGAAGCTACAGGACTAGCTATGATAGACTTTCTCCATTCCCTATCACTATGTGCATTGCGTTTCTTTTTCTTTTTATTCATTCGGCACAGGTACTTCTGGAAAAGATGCAGACAATTCTCAACGAGTAAGACATTACTTTTAATAATATAATAATAATATGACGGCACAAAGGGCAAGTTAAGGAGATGAAAAGGTTAGATATTTATAGATACAACTATATGCCTTAAAAAAATAACGGCATGATTTAAATTTGTGCCTTAAAAAAATACATTAAACCTTTTCATAGAAAATATGCTCCACGCTAATGGATAAATGGTAACTCCTCTTTTCTCAAGGAAGGGGACTTGTAATCCTATAACAAAATATATGTATCTACCGGTATCCGCGGTCGTTTTGTACCCAAACTCAGTCGATTCTCTCCCAGTTTAAGTCGGTTCGTACTGGTGGATTTGTACCCAAACCGCTGATCGATTCTTATCCTTTCCGGTTTATTCATGATAACTCACGTGAACAGTTGTCAATTGTTGCATATAACAAGTCAGTAGAATAAAGCGAGTAAGATATAAACAAAATTCTGTTGTGTATACTTGAGACAAATACTAGCGCAAGGTTAATGTGATATTCTTGATAGAGCAGTCTATGTTTATACTAGCCTGCTGTACAGGCATCTTATTAGGGCGAGCTAACATTATAAGCTCGCGAACGTTTATCCGACCGGCCATGTTTGATTTGGGGTCAGGGTGGAGGGTGGGGGAAGGGGGCGGGGAAAGGGCGAGAAGATGCCTGCCCGAGGAGACTGTTGAAAACCAAAACACTCGCTGATTAGTTGCGCGTCATTGCATTTCCGAAAATGAGCTCGTAACCAATCAAAATGAGCCAAATTAGAAATCCCCCGACAGAAACAAACGCATATAGAGCCGATGAGTGAAACGGTAAGGCAGTTTTTTTTTCAGCCATGAAAGAAATGGCTTCGACAAAACCTCCTCCGCAGACACAAATATGAGCTGATATTTGCCTCACACTATATTTTCTAAACGAAAATCCTTGAGTGTAGCTGCCGTTAATCTATTTGACAGTTTTTCTTCTATTTTATCGTAAACGAAACTTGGAAACAACAAACGACTGCACTCGAAGGTTACCCGCCATAATTTGGTTTGATGCAAACCGGCATACTCTGGTGAAACGGTGTGGCTGGTTTTTTTTTTGTTTTGTTTTGTTTTTTCAAAATGGTTTCACCAAAACGTTTTCTGCTGACGCAAATACGAGTGGATATTTTCCACACTCTATATCATCCAAATGACAATCCGTGAGCGTAGTTACCGTTAATCTGATCGAAGATGTTCATTCCATTTAATCATTACCAGTACGTTAAGGCGGACAAACGACAACTACGCTCGCAGCTTTCCCGTCTTTATTTCTTTCATAACAACCAACAATTTAAATATCAGGCTTTCCTAAAAGCCAGCTGGTAACACGCCCAATAGATCTCCTCGAAAAGCAGTGTAGAAGTTGCTTCTTTTTGTTCCGATCTTAATGTGCGAGGCACATTAAATCCAGAAGGATTCTTAAGTGCTTTCCCTAAGGCGGAATTGAAACTAACAACTTCATCATTTACAGAGTTTGCCATATTTCGAATTTCCCCGAAAGAACAAAATGTCCAAATGACACACTTGGCTTGTGATTGACATCTGGAGCTTAATCTCTTAACCCCACTCCTCTCCTTAATTTTAACCGTCGACCGCCCCCTTAGGACAAATTTCTTTCTCTCCCCAGCCTTCCGCTGCCATTAAAATCTAAGATGGCGGCCATAATTTTCGTTAAGAAAATACTGAGCACTCACTCGCCAAAATTACGCCTGCTCTACAGGCTATGTCTATAATTGTGACTTTCTTAACAGTAAAAGCTCGTGTAAGTGTGTTTTTTTCCCTTAGTTCTCAACAGTAATAAATTATTTTATTCTAACAAAGAGAAACAAACAAAATTAGTATTAGCAGATAAAATGATAACAATTTCTATCCGTTTTCGAAAGGAGTCTACTAACAAAAGGCTTACATTTTTACTTCATCATTCGTTCATTTGAACACTACAAACCACCAATCCAAAGTTATCAGTCAAGGAAAACTATGGCCATCCAACATTACCACGTTAACAAATTTTATTTAACCCGGTAATATTTTAATTTACGACAATAAAACGACCTTGCTTTAAACATACTTAGCATGGAAAAAATATTTTGTTGGTCTGGGTACGAAACGACTCACCAAGCTGGATGAAAAACGACCGAGAGGGGGACCAAATGACTGGGTACGAAACGACCGTCGGTACGAGACGACTGTGGGTACAAAACGGCTGGTAACTCATGTATACATCCATTTTTCCTCAAACACAGAATTACAGCCTTGGAAAATGATATCCTACTGTTCATGGATAAACTGGATAATTTCTGTGATAGCTGCCCAACGGTATGATGACCCTTTTTTCAGTTTAAAAGAAAACTGTTAGTAGTACAGTTAACGCCCAATCTAAATGGTTTAGTCGCATAGGCTCTTTCAACCACGAGATTCAGGTTAAGCGAGAAAAGATTACGCAGTATTTCAATTTCATAATTTAATAACAACCTTCGTGGAATGCGTTGTTTTGGGGGGCTTATTTTTTTGGACGAATCAGAACGTCTAACGAACTATATACAATAATTATTAATTGCCTTATGACAAAATCTGTAAATTCTGTTGTCATATTCCCGAGGTCGTGTTTCCTTGCTTGGGTTGTGACTCAATGCGCTCTTCGAGCAAAAACTTGGTTACTCCATCGAAGTGCAGTCATTTCATTAATTTACCAAGAAGGTTGACAAGCACTTAGATACCTTTACGATCAAGTTAAACTTTATTTTGATTTGTTCATTCACAGGACCGTTGCCAATTTATTTCAGGTCGAAATAGCAACCGGTGAGTGGTAGCACAATTATACTACAATGATTAATGTAACACTAAACGCTTTCTTCATACCAATTGCACTGTATCCTTAGGATGAAATTTCCACTTATTGGACTTTCGTCGAACTTTCATCCCACGAATGAGGTGGCTGACAGAATTTTGTATGTTGCAGTCAAAAAACGGTGTTTTTCATAATCAGCAAATCCTGAACAAAAAGGAAATAAAGATTAGCAGCTGACTTCCGTTTCAGCAAAGAATAATGCCCATTGACTTAAAGACCACAGTGGCAGAGCCAATCAGTGGCCAATAAATCATAGGAAGACAAATATTTGCTCTATTGGTATTGAGCTGACTGAAATTTACCAAGAAGGCATTAACTTTCTTTCGTTGCGAAACTCGTGGATTTTAAAACTTTGAAACGACGTACGATGAATCCTGGAAACCGGAGTTTGAGTCCATTGGCAAACTATACCGGCTGGTCTCATGAGCAGATCAAGCCCTGACGACATTTGACAGCTTTGAAATTTTAAGCAGATGCAAAAATTGTCATGACACAATTTGTCGCTCAAAACCGTTGTGGTCCATAACAGTGTTACATCAGTAATGATGAAAACAAATTTGCAGAAAGGAGGGCTAGTTCATCGGGTTCCGTATGCTAAATCTCGGGAGAAACTGCAAGAATTCTTTCAGAGTGTATACGTGTTGTTTTGTAATATAAACACTATAACGTATTTTAACTTGTTTGTGTGTCCTTTGAAGCAACGCGATATGTCTGTAATGACCAGAGTGTCGAATTTTATTCTTTGATTTTATTTGAATTTTCTTCTTCTTCTTTTCATCTCCACACTGTGCGTAGTTCATAATCTCATATTTCAGCGTAAATTATCGAGAAGGCGCCTTCTGATCACCTTTGTTTACTTTGTTAGTCACGCAAGCGCGCAAGTGTCACGTCGACCGATCACGTTTACACAACGTTTTAGGACAACTCGGCATCTATTCTCCATTCGGCTGTTATGAAAACCTAAAATCCTCAACGTAGAAGATAAACGAACGAAGTTTGAACGGTCAGAATTATGCAAATACTCTTTGACACGAGCCTAATTGAGCAAACACATGGATTTGCGTTGTTTTTAAGATGTTGGTGGATGGAAGCTAGAGATATACCCGCGGGTTTGAGGCTATCCTTGACCTCACTGGTGTATAAACTATGCACTGATATGCTTTTTCAGCCCGATTAAGGCTTGCATTTTGAGAATTCTTTCGTACAAATTAATGAATTTTTGATATGCAAATTAAGGTCGAAGAGAAGGGTCTCTTCTGATCACGCTGGTATAAAAATATTTTTGGTGATGTCTCCATATTTTGTTTTTGGACTAACTGAATACATCTTGTAGCAAGATAGAATTCCATGAGCTATATCATTGCAGTCGCTGCGCGCTGGAAAAAATCTGTGAAATTTACACTTTCGATCGCTGTCCACAGGGGTGGTCTGGCCAAAAATCATTTTTGGCTTGTGACGCAAAAAAAAAGAATTGGAGAACAACTAAACTATTTTTGAAACATGTGTCCTAAACCTTTTTCATGGGCAAAAAAAAAGAAAATTTTTTTCCGACGGGAAGTCGAGAGGACCGCTCTTAGCGAGAGAGCGGCACTTAAGTAAAAAAGCTCTCGATCAAAACATGCAGACAAGGAAGTACTGAAATTGAATTCAGCTTTAAACTGAAAATTGAAACTTGTGTATCTAGGAAAGTATAATGCTTTTGAAATATTCCAACAGACTGGAGCGGTTGAAGAAAGTTGGTGGCATGATGAAGGAGCGATACGATAAAATTGAAGCCGAGGAACCTGCTAAGGTACAGCTTTTGTAGGACGACAGTATGCGTTCAAATGCAAAGTATGTTTTCTCGTCAATATGGGTTAGAAGCTTCAGTTTATAGCAAAATGAATGAAGGGTTCTGATCATGAAGAAACACAATATTAATTAAAGTAACAGTAACAATAATAATAATAATAACGGTGCAGAACTGAAAAGGCGAAAACTATTACCTTCGAAAGTGACACGAGGTTTATGTAAGAAACGAGAAACTGTTTTGGTAATCAAAATTGAAATAAAAACTCTTGAAAATCTAAAAACTGATCTAAAAACCTTTACTTTCAACATGAGAAAGAATTCAAGTTAGTACTTTATCCAAATTCAAGCAAGGAAAATGTTCCTTAACGACTTGCCCCAAGGGAAACAATTTTAATTAAAATTTCGTTCCCCGAAAAACTCCAAACATTTTTAAAATCGTATCATTTCAAACTTAATTATTGAATACCGAGTCGTGATATTTTGTTCCTTGAAACAGGCGTTATTGACCGCAAGGCATTATACAGGTGGAAAAGACTATCTTGGTGCTCTTGGATGAATAAAACAAATGGTAAACAAGTTGATGAAAATACTTTTAATTAGAAGAAAGTGATGGCCCCTAAATTCAGTTACATAGAGCCACTATTTATCCGTCTAGACAAATCTAGTTACCAAACAACACTCTTTTGACGTCATAAACCCTGACAGGAGGTTAAAACTCTCGTTTTGAATCGACTAAAGGCTGAAATAGAAATTATGAGAGGCTGTTTGCTCATGACATTTTCATTTGTCTTACTTTATATATTTCTCAACAGATATCTTTGGATCTGATGGCACTTTTGCTTCTTAGCTGTGTGCTACGTTTTTGCTTCATGATCATCTTAATAAGAAATAAAATAAATTTGGAGCTTATTGCTGCTTCTAATTTCTTAATACTTTCTACCATTACCTGAGATGCAAAAGTAACAATTACCTTTCAGGGGAATCTGCTTAGAAAATTTACAAAAAGCAAAGAGTTGAACCTACGACCTTCCAACGTTTAGTTATTTACCAAATAACTTTATTAAGTATTTAAGAGGAGATTAGATTATTGTCGAGTGGGAATCCAATAAGTGTATGCCTTCCAGGGAGTCCCGCAGCAATAAGAGGAAGCCATCAAAACCGGAATTTAGTGCATTGGTCGCGGTTTTGTTATGGCTCGCTCAATGTAAAAAGTTTACTCGCCCATATTGACGACCGTAAGATATTTATGAGAGGTTCAAAAATCCATATATTGTGTGTATACAAGCGTGATAGTACATCAGTGATTCAGAAATATATCTACCGGGATTTGACGTCGTTAGAAGGGAACGTGCCGTGAACGGGAGATCTGGTGGCGGTGTATGTATTTATTTACCAAACAACATAAATTACCATGTCCGAGAAGACTCCAGTGATGATCAATTGGAATGTCTTGTTGTCGAAATCACCGCACCGCATTCCAGACCTTTTTTAATAAATACATAATGTAGACTGCCAAGTTCCCAAAAATAAATTTTTAATCAATTTGAAAACCTGGTAGATAAAATTGATTCGGAACACAAGGATTTATTCCTACTTACTCGGAGACCTGAATTGTGACATGTTGTAAATAGATAGATTCGGACGCTACTGTTTTTACTGAAGATTTTTCATCGAGTTTCAATAAAGATACAAAGCTTAGGCATCAGATATCGACATCCCTATACTTAAAGTATGCAGGAAGTTTGTCACCATGAACCTATTTCAACAACCATTTTCAAAGAGTTCTGGAGAAACCAGGGAACATTTCAATGACAAAGAGTTGCAACGTTTTCAATTCATTCCACACCGCCACACACGTAATGAATTACACCTAAATCGAAGAGATCTATGATTGATTTGAGGTCTGTGTTTCAAATTCGCTGCATGTGTATTAGTGTTCGATTAATTTCCCCCACGATATTACAAATACTCGTCAAGGTATAATTGCACCTAATTATATCTTAAACAAAAAGAATTGCAAGGGGAAGTGTGCGTGCATGTGGAATCTAGCAATCGAATTTTTTCATCTCCAATAACCTCTTGCAAAGCTTATTTAAAAACCATCCGTTGGTCTCAGCTTTGTTGTCCAATGATTCTAAACATAGCGATAGATTCGGACGCTACTGTTTTTACTGAAGATTTTTCATCGAGTTTAAATAAAGATAGAAAGCTTAGGCATCAGATATCGACATCCCTATACTTAAAGTATGCAGGAAGTTTGTCACCATGAACCTATTTCAACAACCATTTTCAAAGAGTTCTGGAGAAACCAGGGAACATTTCAATGACAAAGAGGTGCAACGTTTTCAATTCATTCCACACCGCCACACACGTAATGAATTACACCTAAATCGAAGAGATCTATGATTGATTTGAGGTCTGTGTTTCAAATTCGCTGCATGTGTATTAGTGTTCGATTAATTTCCCCCACGATATTACAAATACTCGTCAAGGTATAATTGCACCTAATTATATCTTAAACAAAAAGAATTGCAAGGGGAAGTGTGCGTGCATGTGGAATCTAGCAATCGATTTTTTTCATCTCCAATAACCTCTTGCAAAGCTTATTTAAAAACCATCCGTTGGTCTCAGCTTTGTTGTCCAATGATTTTAAACATAGCAAATCGAATTTAACAAGTTGTCTTATTTAATGCGGGCGATCCTTTCGGCCAAAAAGTGTGTAGCTAACAGGCGTAAGAACTGAGCGTGATGGTGTCCTGCACTGTGCTCCGTTGTTTTTGCCTTACCCTTATGTTTGTTCTTGTTGCGCTTGCTTCAAATGGGTAAGAATCTTCCTTTCTGTCCCTCAAAATTCAAGTTATTAGATTTACACACTGGATTTCCACTTAATTATTTCACCGAGAATTGTATGTTCTCTTTTCCTAACCAGGTGCAAATTTCCCAGTGAACTGGAGAATGAACACAAGAGGTGAACTGAAAGAATATCACAGATTTCTAGTCTATATGAAATAAATCTAAGCTTATATAGATAACACGCGAATCCAAGGTGGATGACGCCCGCAGCCGCTCATTCTTCCAGAAATTATCGTTTGAAAGAACTTCATCTTTTATCGTCTGAAAGATCCGCTTATTTTCCTAAAGGAAATAATTGCCAGAAAATGTATATAATAGATGGTGGATACAGCCAGTTTTGGCTTTTTGCTTTAATTTTTCTCTTCCCTTGAGCTAAAATATTTTTCTCCGCCAGGGTTCAAGGAAAGGAGAGCGTAAATTTGGCCTGCGAGTTTCAGATTTCAATCATTTTCCTTTATAATGTAGGATCGAAACTAATTAAAAGAACGTCATTAGAGAAAACAGTTATCTTAAATTGCAACAAAATTGAGCTTTGGTCGCCTAAAAGATAGTTCAGTTTTTTCTCCATCAAACACTAAAAACTGAATAAAAAAGGTTTATTTGCAAAGAAAGTGGTTACTTAAAGGGAGAATAAGGTGAAGGGTTTGACTCTGATGATGACTTTCACTACGTTGTCGAAGGATCAGTCACTCCCTTCGAAAACAGTGTCTCTCAGGATTGATCTCACCCGGACGATAAGGCAGGACGTTCCAGCTTTAAGAGAACGTTGACTGCACCATAATCATAATTTAACCAAAATTGTTCATCGATCTTAGCCTGAAAAGCAAGTTTAAGGAGCTTAAGGATAACTTGACGAACACCCGCTCAGCAATAAAGGCAAAGGAAAAGGAAAATCTGTTGACCAAAGAGGTTAGTACAACTTCTACCCTATTGATAAACTTTGGTTGCTCAGATCATAAAGCAACAGGCCCAACTGTTATAGAGCTTCTCTATCCTCTGCTTGTTAATTATGTCTGTTAAGTTGTTATTGTTGTTGGTTTTTTTCCTTTTTTGGTTTTCAATTTTTTGACGATACAGATACTACTGGAAAAGATGCAGGCAATCACCACCAAGTAAGACATTGTTTTCATTTATGTTATTTGCGATGGATTCTTTATCTCTGAATTGGTGAGATCTTCAAGGAACAGTTTGCACATCGTGAGAACAAATTACAAAGATTAAGAGGGAAAACAATTTGCAGATATGCTTTGCTAAGGTCTGGTTCGAATTCATGCCTTTATGACTGACTGTTGATTGAGACTTAGACTTTTTAACGCCGTAGACATAGTGGGTAAGTTGTAATGCTTCTTTTTCAAGGGAGGGGAGTTAGTCTAAAAGTAAAATGTATGCATCCACCTGAAGTGACTTTCCTTTCTACCAAACACAGCATTGTGGCCTTGGAAAATGATACTCAAGATTTCATGGACAAACTGGAAAATTTCTGTGATGTCTGCCCAAAAGTATGTGATGTTTTAGAGGCCTGAGGTTGAATAGTCTTTTTTGCATATCCCCGTGATCGCTCTGCGATGCTTCATTGCGCTCCTGGGTCAAAAATTTTGTGGCTCCATCAAAACGCGTCCATTTTATCGTTCGGTGCTTGACCCAATTACCCAGCTTTTCTGGTCAAGATGATTAACGAGCTCAACCTTGATTTAGATACCGCCAAGATCAATATCAAGGTTTACTTTATACAAGAAAGTGTATTTTGTTTTTCGCTCGCACTGATTATGTAGTTCGCAAGTGATTGACAAGTTCTATTTATCTCGAGGCAGCTGAAGAGACAAAATTGCGTGTGAATAATTTGACTCCCGACCATTTTTTGGTGTAATGACAGAAATAAACTAACTTTTTGTTTCTGTGTGGTATGTTATAAACTTCAGTGGCGAGGTAAATATCCACAACTTTCACCGACACTAAAGTGAAAGTTGTGGATATTTACCTCGCCACTTCGCGTCCCGGTTAATATCCACTACTATTCACTCCCAGTTCACAGAACAAGTAATGATTTTTTTCTTGCCCATTTACAGGATCGTTGCCAGTCCATTTTGAATCGAAATAATAACCGGTAAGCGGAATCCCACTGTTTAGCACCAGAAAAGTACCATAATTATGCCGGATTCAGGCTAGTTGCAAACCATCTTTTGGTTTTAATTTCTTTGTAGTAGGCTATAATACCAAAAAAAATATTCCTCGATTGAGGTAGCTAGCAGAATAGTGCACGAGAGATTTTGATGTCGCCTCAAAACCGGTCTTAAGAAAAACAGTGAATTCTGGTAATTATTGCTTTGGGAAAAACAAAAAAAAAAAAGAAGAGCGGAATAAAGGTTGGCAAGTGTTTACCAAGGAATAATGCCCATTGCCTCACAGACCATAGCGGCCGAGCCAAACATCTACTGATATGTTTTAGGGAAAACGTTTGGTTGTTACGTGTAAACTGGGAAGTACTAAAATCAGATGCAACTTGAAACCGAAAACAGCCACTTATTTAGTAAGATAATAATGATGCTTTTGCAAAATTCCAACAGCCTGGAGCGAATGAAGAAAGTTGGAGATATGATTAAGGAGCGATACGACAAAATAGACGCCGAGGAGTCTGGTCAGGTATGCTAGTGAAAAGTGTTACGGGAAAATTTACTGATTTTCCTGTGTGTGTTATTCGGAACATATTTATTCGTAAACTTTCACATTTAACCATTTCAAGTCCTTTCATTTTAATAAATCAAAAAATGCATAAAAGCCACAGTAGCTTTTGAATAGATTTTTGTTGTTACTCGCTTTCATCGTATGCACCTGCTTGTCGGCACTTTAGTTATTTATTACATGGTTTTTTTTAGGTAAATATAAGTGTTAATGGTCTTTCTGGAAACATTGGCTTTCATGGTAGATAGCAGCTGAGTTTATACGCGTAAATTTAATTTCTTTTCATGCGATGGTTTCCAAACCAATCTTGCATAGATAAGCAGAAACTTTTAATTGTTTTTCCGTTTTTATCTCCTGAGCTGCGCTACTGCAATTAAGATAGGTAGTTTTCTAATTCAGAGCTGTAAAATTGCACCTAAGTTTCCTACGTTAATGGCCTAGAGGTTGTTGCATCCGTCTTTTTAATTTTGAGATACTTTCCGTCGTAGAAACAGATGGAATAATTAAGTAGTTTTCGTTTAACTTCAAAGAGACTTTTTTCCGCTCCTTTGTGTCCTTATTCAAATATTGCGATTTGTGTAACAATAGCACTTCACACCAGTTACTTCTTAAGCAAGTACCTTGTACAGCTTTGATGATTACAAACTAGAGTATGCTAGAGGTCATGTCGCTTGTTGGCCTGACCTAGAATAAAAGTACTGTGGAACCAAAGATTGTCTTATCCTTGACGTCCGTATAAGCTCGCTCGAAGTAGATCTCCGTGTACCAGGAAATCGTGACGAGTTTCCGTTCTCGCTGCCAAGTCGTCTCTACAGAGTTATTCCCCCCAGTTGTTATTGTGCCGTCCGCGAAGAGTCAGTTTTCCAGTTTAGCGAGCGAAAACTTATCGTCACAAAAGCAACAAACAATACGAAAAAATACTACATATATGTTTTGTAAAGTAACACCGGTAAGGAGCTTTAATTAGTATAAGAAGTAATAACAGAACAACAACAACAGTAATGACATTAAAAATAATGATACTAATAATAATAACAATTATCTAAGTGTCTATTTTTTCGATACAATAGATCTTGAATGCAATTGCCCCGGTCCAAACTATTTTTGTTCTCTCAAGTAACTGTCCAACGAAAGGGTTTCTGTTAAAAAATCGTAATCAACCACAAGACATTGCGAGCTTAGTCCGCCATTTTCTATGTCATCTAAATTCGAGAAATTTCCAATGTGGTCTATCATCCAAGTGCATCCGAGCGATTTAGGTATATTTTAAGGTCTGAAATTCTGGTAGCAGCCTTCTGAAATTATCAGTGGTATAATCTGGATAGTTGTGTAGCAGTTTCTTGCAATTTTCTTGACAAAATTTTTGTTTGTAACTAGAAAAGTCGAAGGCATCTCGCTTCCCTACACATGGAAGACCTAAAGCCACTGCACCAAGCTTCGTACAGGACGCATAAAACAAACAGCCAGTGACCAGTTAAAACTTGAAGTATTGACCAGCCTGCATAACACTAAAAGCTGTTGAAGGCCTTAATGTAATAACTGTCCTAAATGTAATAAAATCATAAATGTTATAACTTTTGGTCCCTAATGTAATAAAGTCCTACATGTTTGGTCCTAAATGTAAAAAAGTTCAAAATGTAATGTCATTTAGTCCTATATGTAATAAGCCTCCAATGCAATCGTTTAACTCCGACAGTGCATTTTTGTTATAGCGACACCCACATTGAAATGTTAAAGTGACAGCTGTTGCACCAAAAAATCCTCTGACCAGTATTCATGTCACATTGCGAGCTCGCTGATATCAATCAGCGTCTTCTTATTTGCTAGACTTAAGTCGAGAAGCATTGCTGCAAACCGTTATACTGACGAACAATTGGCATCAAATGACAGCTACCAAAATAACGAGTACGCTGACCAATACCTTTCCGTATATCACTGACTCAGACCCTAAAGTACAATAGATTTTGAAAAAATGTGATAACGTAATACTTGAGTGATCAGTGATGGAGTTAACAAGGCATAAACCAAATTACAAACTTGGATAAGGGAGTCCACTGACTTGTAGGTCAGACAATTTGGAGGCTGGGATATACATTTTTTGAACATAGGATATTGCATTTCTAGCCCTCCATGGCTTCACTCCACCTTAGTAATCAGTTCATGTACGATGTAACTATAAGTGGAAACTGTTAAGCTTTCTTTTTTCATTTATTTATTTATTTATCTATTCATTTTCTCCCCTCACGGCGGGGACAAAAAAATGAAATAAAAACTTAAGATCTACTGTGGAATATAATGATGTTCTCTCTTGACCAAGCTTATTCGGTCAAGATGGCAGGATATTAACCTCGTTCTTTTTCTGCGTTTTTATGGACCGAGACGAAGGATTCTCTGAGGCAACAGCTGTCACTTAAACATCTCAACCTGCTACCACAACAATGCACTAACGCAGTTAAATGATTACATTGAAGACGTATTACATTTAGGACTTGATTACATTTAGGATCAAATGTTATTACATTTAGGATTTTATTACATCTAGGCCTTCAGCATGAAGCGATTTTAAACTTCCGTTTTCATAGATTAGTTTTGACCAGGATATATTTTGATGACTTTTCTTTGCGATGTGATTTTGAATGAGGTGCCATTTCCCCGTCAGTATGTTTTCAAGGTTAGGTAAAGCCGGATGATATTGCATTACAAAAGGCAACATTTTCTTCTGTGTGCTGTTTTCTTTGTTTTTAAATGACCCTTCTCTACTGGAACACACAACTCCAGACATGTATTTCACCAGAACTTCGTCAGGTATCCTCTATTCCCTTCTTTGGTCGTATTTCAAAGCTCTGTACGTTTTTTATTAAATGTGAATTGCGTCGGATTTGTTTTCAGGATGCTTAACGCTTCTCTCTAAGCGAATCCTTCCTTTACGCCACGTAAAAAGTGTTTGCGGGCCGGCATGAGTTAATACGAACGAATTTTTCGCAGTTGTCTGTACGTTAAAAAAAAAACAGAGGAGTGGTTGACAAGGATCCTTTAAGATGCTTCATCAAAATCATTCCTCACATATTGAAGGTTTTTTTTTAATCTAAATCTTACAAAAAGCTTTGAAAAAATCAAAACATATTTTAGTGGTTCGTTTTATACCCAAACTACTGTTTTAACTTTATTGATTTCGTTTTACTTAAGAGTCTTACGTACGTCAACATTGTTTCGTGCTTACTACATCAGAAATATAATTTTTTGCGTTAAGAAAACCAAAAGAATTCTTGACTACGTGGCCAATGGATCCTTCTGAGAATATAGAAAATATTGGAAAACTCAAAAAATTGAGCAAGACCTTCCCTTTATTTGGGATAGCTCTTTTTATAATTTCGAATAAATACCAGATAGAGTATTTTCTCTTCTTGTTTCTGTTTAATTTATCTGTCTAAAAGTCTTTCAGCTCTGTTTCCCTCAAGTAATTCTCATTATTTACTCTGTCGGGGTTTTTTCTTGTTAAAAAACTAAAGAAAAACAACAATTTATCATGGGCTCAAATAATCTTTTGATATGAAGCAAATACAATTATACCAAGCACAATATGTATAAATATAAATGGCTAACTTTTGTATCTAATTGGCAGAAAGGCATTTTTTTATTTCTATATTTCACATGGAGGGCGTCGATAGTAACTCTCCGAAAAGAAAAAAATATAAAAAGATAAATATAAAAATGACCTTGATGTGCAAGGTAACAAGGGATCCCCGCCGACAGTCAGCGACCAGTACGTCATAGCCACCACCGTCACATCTAATTTAATTTAAACCTGTTTTTCTCATCCACTTCAAGGCCTGATGAAGGGATTCACTGGCACTTCCTCCTCCAACAAAGTGTTCGTAGAACCGACCCATCAGCTGCTCTGTTGCTAAGTCTGAAAATGCCTACACGTGGACAGAATATTCTAGATCAATTTCTTTCGAATATGGGTGAGCTATATTGTGAAGCACAACTTCTACCACCGCATGGTCGATCTGATCATCAGTGCATCCTATTCTCTCCTTTAAACCAGCAGCGGCATGGGAAAGCAATATCTAGATCTGTAAGAACGTTTAAGCCTGATAATCTACGTTCTTTAAGGCTTAAACTTAATTTGGAAAGCTGGAGTGCTGTTTACGAAGCATCTGATGTTGATGAAAAAGTTGAGGCATTCAACAGAATAATAATTAATTCTCTTGACACCTGTACTCCCCTGCGTCACGTGCGTTTGCATCCTAGTGACAAGGAGAGGATGACGCCGCATATCAGATAGGTGCTAGACAAAAGGCTTGGGTTAAAGGTGACAAGGAAAGCGTGGAATGGTAGCAGCCCTTATAGTGCTAGAAGCGTAAATTTTATGAAAGGAAGGCCTACGATATCCGTTATACGAATCCAAGCAAGTGGTTTAAATATATCTACTCGCTCTGTGGTGCCCAGCAGTTATCAAGAACCCCAACTGCGCCTAACTAGGCTGAACTACAGAAAACAGCGGACCTTCTGCTCGATGCTTTTGTTGCTCCTTGGAAGGACCGAGAGACCACCGCACTGTCAGTCAGCGAGGTTGCCAGTGAATTGGACGACAGACCTCCGCCTGTTCCAAACATTGGGCAAGTTAAAGCCATACTCAAACATGTGAATCCGAGGAAAGCAACAGGTGTTGACGGTGTGCCTGAGTGGCTCCTTAAACGGTTTCACGAAGAACTGGCACCTGTTGTACACGATATTATTTGTGCCAGTATAGTACAGTCCAAGTATCCTACTAGTTACAAGCATGCTTTGGTCAGCCCGGTACCCAAGGTTGATAATCCCACGGATATAGACGATGACTTTAGGCAGATTTCAGTTTTGCCACAAGTCGCCAAGGTACTGGAGAGGATCCAGCTTAAGCTAAACCTAAAGGCGCTTCCCAACTTTTTACGGCGGACAGATCTACTATGACTGCGCTTGCCAGCATCACACAAGACTGGTATAACGTTACAGATTCTGGAAGTCTATATAATGGCGTGCATGTGGTCTTTGTAGACTTCCGAAAAGCCTTCGATCTGGTGGATCATGGTGTTCTGTTGACTAAACTCGCGGGCATGGGCATCACCATGAGCTTTTGGAAATGGACTCAGAGCTACCTATCAGGCAGAACACAGCAGGTTAAGCTCCCGGGAGTCCTCTCCAGACATGGTGAGGTGATTGCTGGTGTACCCCAGGGCGGTGTCATTTCTCCTACACTTTTTAATGTGCATGTCAACGATATTGAGGACTGCATCCTAAGGGGAACACCTGTATCCACTTGCAAGTACGCTGATGACTGCACCCTATACGAACTTGTTTTTAAGGACTCTGTCAGTCAAATGCAGGATGCTGTGACTTACTTGGAAAGATGGGCTGTGCAGAATAAAATGGAGCTTTCATTTCATTTATTTCATTTCATTTTATTTTTATTTAAACACGGTCAATTCATCAGCCTAAAAAATACATATCACATACACTAGAATATGTAAAACTCAAACTATATACTATAACACTAAAAGCTGTTTTCCGTGAGTGCCGTGCGTTAGACTGAAAGAATGTCATTGATCTTACGTTTAAATACTCCCAGAGACTCTGTGTTCCTTATATCGCATGGTAGACTGTTCCATAATGTGGCGCCATTGTAGCTAAAGCTTTCGGTAATAATTAGTGCGCGGTAAGGGAACATTGAGCTTATTTTCAGAGTCCCTTAGGTCATAAGCAGAGTCACGCCACGTAAACTTTGAACACAGATACTCTGGAGCTAGCCCGTGCAGACATCTAAACATCATGGTGGCTTTGTGAATTTCCTGCTGGCGTGTAAGATTTTTCCACCTTAAAAACTCGAGTAGCTCAGTTGCATCAGCATCATAGTTAGAGAATGTCAACACACGGGCTGCTCTATTCTGCAATTTCTGCAGTTTGTCTTGTAGCGTTTTCCCATAGTTACCCCAAACAATGTCACAATAATCAAAGTGAGGTTTTACTAAGGCTTGATAAACGAGATGTAAGGTTGATGCTGGGATCAAGTGCCTAATTCGCTTTAGGGCCCCGATACCAGAGGCGATCTTTTTGGTTAATTTTTCGATGTGACCATGCCAATCGAGTTTATCGTCTATTATTACACCAAGCGATTTCGTAGTTGTAACCTGGCTCACTTGAGTATTGTTCATTGTAATTGTTGGTGAAGCTGTGAGAGTATTCAGTCTCTGCCTCGACCCTATTAGCATGAATTCGGTTTTGGTCATGTTCAATGTAAGTTTGTTTGCTTGTAGCCAGTTGAAAACGTTTGCTAGGTCTTCATTTAGACAAAACTGAACATTCTCAAGATTACTGCCCGCATATGTAAGGTGCGTGTCGTCAGCGTACATTCTTGGTTTACAATTTGATAAGCAATTTGGAAGATCGTTAATATATAATAAGAACAATAATGGACCGAGGATGGTCCCTTGAGGGACGCCGCATGTCAGTGAGTAGCTATTGGAAAGCGACCCGTTCACAGAGCATTTTTGTGTGCGGTTTTCTAGATATGACTGAAACCATTTGAAAGATTTGCCATGTATACCATAATAGTTTAGTTTCGATAGAAGAATCGGATGATCAACAGTGTCAAAAGCTTTCTTCAAATCCAGAAAAATCACTCCATTGATTTTCCCGTTATCAATATCATATGCCCAAGAATCTGTCGCTTCCAACAAAGCTGTTACAGTTGAATGATTAGCACGAAAACCTGACTGGTTTTGACATAGAATATCGTGCTCTTTCAAATAGGCATATAACTGTTCATAAACTATCCTTTCAAACGCCTTCGCCACTATTGGAATCACCGATATTGGGCGGTAATTGTTTACATCACCGCGGTCACCCTGTTTATAAAGAGGGGAAACCCTTGCATATTTCCAGTCATCTGGGAACGTCCCTTGGTTAATAGATTGATTGAAAATATCACATATCGCTACACAAATAAGATCAGCACATTCCCTGACCAACCTAGCAGATATTTTGTCAAGGCCCGTTGCCTTTGACTTGTCTAGTTTATTTAAAAGTGAAAATACTTTATTTGGATTGGTGGGTTGGAGCTTAAACCGTTTATCTGTAGCGGTAAGATATCTTTGATAGCCACCACTATCGCAATTTATCTCACTGGCAAAGTTTGGACCAATATTAGCAAAGTGGTTATTGAATTCGTTTGATAGCTCCAACGGATTAGTTATCGTTAATCCGTTCACTTTTAGTGACACCACTGACGTTTTCCCAGATTTTCGAGAGGTTAGCTCGTTTATAGTCTGCCAGGTCTTTCGGGAGTCGCTGGTGTGCTTATTAAAACTATTTTGGTAATAAACTAGCTTAGCTGAGCGTATTTGCTTATTGGTTATATTTCTTTGTTTGTTAAATAATGCCCAATCGTTAGGATCATTTGTCTTGCTAGCTTTGATTTTTAATATGTCTCTATTATGCATAGAGTCTTTCAATTCAGAGGTAATCCATGGAGAACTCCTTGAACGAACACGCATCGTTTTCAGTGGGGCATGTTTGTCAGCAATAGCTAGAAATGTACATTTCCATTGCTGCCACATCACGTTTGGGTTGGAAGACTCATACATTATCCCAACATTGAGATAGGATGTGATAACGAAAATTTTGACGATCGAAATTTCGGAAATTTCTATATGTAATAGAATTATGTCCATTAGACATTCCGTTCTGGGCAAGTTTTCTATATACATACACCATGCTATGATCACTTATCCCGATGTGACATACTCCCGAACAAACGATCTTATCTGAGCAGTTGGTATAGATTAAATCAATTAGAGTTGAAGAGGTGGGTGTTATCCTTGTCGGTTCAGAGATGAGCTGCTCGAGTCCGTAGACATCGGCAATACTCCTTAATTTGGATACATCATTGTCATATCGAGTATTGATCATATCACAGTTCATGTCTCCCAGTACAAAAAATTCTACATTTTCACTATCCAATTTTCCAATTAGGGATTCAAAAGGTGAAAAAATGCCAATAGGAGAGTCAGGTGGTCTGTACCAAGTAACAATCACAAAAGGTTTTGAATTTGGCTTATGGATTTCCAAGCAAAGATTTTCTAATGCATCCATATGTAGGTCATTTCGTACAGTAAAGTTGATTGAGGTTTTTACATAGAAGCATACCCCTCCGCCGGATTTTGTAAGTCTATCGCGGCGAATTATTTCGTATCCCGAAATATGAACTTCATGATCTCGAATACTCTCGTTCAGTTTCGTTTCATTTATGGAAACAATATCGATATTGTCTGCGAATAGGATTCTTAGCTCGTCTATATGTGTTGTTAATTGATTAATATTGAGTGATGCCATTTTAAAACCGCGCAAAGGAGGAAATAGTGAGATAGATTTTTCGGCTCTCTGGTTGCTTAATCGGTCCCGCACGGCATTGACGGAAAACACATTATCTCATTCTAGGTGCGATTTAAAATTGTTATAAAACTGCTCATTACCTTTAAAATTTAAGTGCAGTCCATCTTTGTTGAGTACGCTATGAGATATGTTCTCATGATGGGTTAATTTCCATCCATTTTGATGGCAGAACTTCTTTAGATACTTGTTGGCTGTTTTCACTGCCTGGTCAAGCTTATCTTTTCTGCATACAAGCTCCGACAGCGTGACTATAGTATCGCAGGTGCCCTCGATCTGCCTCGCGAGATCCACAATCGATTCCGCAACAGCCTTTGGTTCCCTGGTTTTAAGATCATTAGTCCCAATGTGTAAAATCGCTTCGTTGGGCGAAGGTTCTAGATTTGGCTTGAGATAGTGATTCATGGCCGTTGTCGTAGCGCCCGAGAAAGGCTTGACTATAACCCTATGGCCCTAGAAAGACCAAAGATATGTGGATCACCTTCAAAAAGTCCTGTCCAATTCCTGCTCCTATTAATATCGGGCCTACTGAACTGGAGAGGGTTTCAGAGTTTAAACTACTGGGTGTATATGTACAGAACGATCTCAAGTGGAATACACATGTCTCAAGTATTGTCAGCAAGGCGTGTAAACGGATCCACTATCTTAGGGTCTGTAGAACAGCCCATCTCCCCAGGGACATTGGTCTTACAACTCACATCTCTAGGATTAGACCTGTTTTGGAATATGTCTCGCCTGTCTGGGGAGGGCTGCCCATTTACCTCGAAGAAGATCTACGGAGAGTGCAGAATAGATGTCTAAATGTCATTGGTCTCACTAAGGATACTGTTGAGTCACTTGTAACTAGGCGTCAGAATTTGACGAGGAAAGAATTTAAACGTATCCTAGAATCTGAAGCACATCCTTGTAAACGTTTTTTAGAAAAGCCAGTGGATCATGGCCATAATCGAAGATCTTGTAAGACTAACCCAGCGCACCTCAGAATACCTGTATCACGCACTGTTAGGCACAAACAATCATTTGTTCCTAGAGGTGCTAAACTTAACTTGATTTGATATGTATATATAATATGTAGTGTTTTGAATTTTTATTGTAATATTACCGTAATTCTTATCGCCAAAGGTAACGAATAAAGGTTATTATTATTATTATTTAAAAAAAAATAGGATTGTCGAAATGCTTAGTCAACCAAATCTCTAATGTAAGGCTACCCTTATCTTATGTTAATGTAACCAAATCATAGTTGATGAAGCGAGAATAAATCTAGAAACATTTGTTGAACAAAGCGTTGTTGTTGTCATTCATTTAAGTACTTTGAGACTACTTGCAGTTGGAGTGACCGTTCTACTTTTAAAAAAGGAAAAGCAGATCTTGCTTGTACGAGACTTTTCTAAAAACTGTCAAAACTGAATTCTAGAAATGTTTTTAGAATGAAATACTGCTAAAAGCAAGTTTTTCGAGGTTTTCGCAGAGCGCGTTTGTTATCACTTTTTATTTGTTCCTTTTGTCTTTTACCTCGCGCGTGGCATCTAAGGAAGGTGTGATTTTTTTTTCATCGCTTTAAGATGTGAAAAGAGTGGGAGAGTATAGCAGGTAATTTAAGCGATTGACGAAGGGCTAACACTCGAAACGTCAGCTTTTTTACTCTTTACGGTGGCCAGTTTACATTTTCAATTGAGTTGTTAACACTTAATTACCTGTTTTTAAATTTGTCTAGTGTTTTCAAAGCGCCTTAACGTTAAATTGTCACGACAGGATTTCAATTGAGTTTCTATTAGGAGGCGGTCTATAGCGCGAAAGAAAATTATGGGAGGCGATTGCGCAGCGCTTTATGCAAACTAAGAAAGTAGGATAACTTTCGTAGCGCGAAATTTGATTGCCCTAAAAATTGGTAGATGAATCTGACAACGTCAGTGACGTGATTGAATACACGTAACCTGTTGAGCAAAAAAAAAGAAAGAAACTAGCAGAACATGACGATGCGAAAAAGGATGAATAGGTATCAATTAGATGTCGGTTTGTGTAAACACAAAAAAATTGTGGGAGGAGATTATTCAGTTTTTCTTGCTTACGACGCGCGAAATTTAAATAAACTCGGATTGAACAGTCGAGTCAAATGGGAGAAATTGACGAGCGTATGCGACTATTTCCACTCGCCATTGTTTTTTTTAACTCCTTCGTTGAATTGAAATACGGAAAGAGAATGATACCCGTAAAACTACATGAATTAACGACGCGCGAGGCTTCGAACGTTATTACCAGGTTTAAATCACACGCTAGAGGAAGGAGAATACGAACCTTTTTATGCACATCGGGAACAAAATCTCATTCACGCAGCGCGAAATTTAAATACACGCACATTAAACAATCGAGCAAATGACGATAGTCTTCTATATGATTCAACGGCGTGGTAGGCTTCGGACGTTAATACCAGGTTACACATGCTCTCATCACCTTTGTATCGTACAGTGAGCCTCTAATTGAATATATCTTTCGCCAGTTGTAGGCAATATAAAGGTAAAAACGGTGGCACCTCTTTACTTCAGATACGAAAGCTACAGTCGCCCCACCATCCACCCCACCGTGACTATTTGCATCCTAACAAATCTACCAGAATCACCCCCACGGGGAGGATTTGTCTTATCATCAGTTTTGCCGATGGTTTAAATCTGCCGCTCGTATGATAATCAGAAATTTTGAAAAATCCCGCGTGTATTTTAAAGCTGTTTCCGCCATTGTTCCAGAGTAGCCATATACGGTCATTGTTAATCGTTAAACAAAGCCTGCTCAACTTTAGCAGGTAATTTAGTGTTAACAACTGGGTTGAAAACGTAAATTAGCCACCGTAAAGGGTAAAAAAGCTGACGTTTCGAGCGTTAGCCCTTCGTCAGAGGGGCTAACGCTCTGACGAAGGGCTAACGCTCGAAACGTCAGCTTTTTTACCCTTTACGGTGGCTAATTTACGTTTTCAACCCAGTTGTTGACACTAAATTACCTGCTATACTCTCCCACCGACGCAGCACCAGTTTCTTTAGAAACTTACCCCTTTATTCACTGCTTAACTTTAGGCTGATTCGCTTTTCTTGATACGTCTTGAACGTATTTGATAATTGATTAGTTCCTATTCTCAGTGATTTTGATAAATACTTTTGATCACAATTTCCATTTTTCCTAATCCCAAATTCGCAGTAACAGAGTTTAATAGAGGGTCTTGATAAGATTTTTGTGAGCCGTAAAACGGCCAAAAAATTAGCCGTTAGGCGTAAAACTTGACAAATTTTAACCGTTAGTCGTAAAAGAGTTAAACCGTAAAAAGCATTTCTAATGGCAACAATGGAAAGATATTAATCGTTAGCCGTAAAAGCCATGCCAACACTCCTTTGCAACCCTCTTGGTACTTAGAGGAGGCATCCAAGGGGTTCATTGGGAGATTTTGCCTCCTATCACACAGTTCATGATAATAAAACATTCTGGCCGGTATGCCCTTAAATTCAAATTTGACGAAACTTAAAACCCCCCACCCCTCCCATTTGAAAAATGTTCCCAACGCCTCAGATTCTAATAAATAGAACATAATCTGTGAAATATTTATGGTGTAAACTGGATGTGATAGCAAACAATTACAGTAGAACCTTTTAAAAGTCAGTTACTTACCACTAACTTAGGACATCATATAATTCTAGAGGGTCTCAATGGGGTTAACCGATAGCCATGATTAAAGACAAGGAAGAACGTAAGCCATATATAATTTTTATCATTCGAATCATCGCTTGGTGTTAGTGCCCTCTAGTTGCAAGTTTCTTGCGATTGTCTGAGGAAAAGAGGAAACAAAAAGGTTGAACAGCGCGAATTGCCGTTGGGAGTTTCAGGAAAGTCCCTTCCAGATGTGCGGATCCTACAACGTAACTGTAGTCCAGTCCATTTCCCACACCTCTCTCCCCTCCTCAAAAGAAATATGAAGGACTATTAAGCATAACTATTGATTATTACTGAAAGTCAAGCTACCTCCTCATTTACTTGTTACCATATTTCAGTCACTGGATTAACGCCTTTCAAGGTAAGACCAGTGATGTGGTTATTTTTGAGCAAATTACCGACCCACTCGGTCCGTTTTCTTTTTCTTTTTCTTTTTTTAATACATTATAACAGTTAGTATTTTTTTAATTAGATCGTGCAAATCACACTTGCAACAAAATGAAAAGTTCATCAGTGAGTACAATGGGTCAATTTTCACGCATAGATAGCTTACTGTTTAAAGACAGAAGCTTTAGTTGTACTCATCGATCTCGTGATGTAAATCCAACCGTTCCAAAAGGGATGACGCTGAAGCTTAAAGTTTCCGGTTGAATGTGTCATTTTGGATGCTCAAATCCATAATTAGTTAGAAAAGTGCGACGTGCCAAACCGAATTACAGTCACTTAGTTTTTTTTAGTTTTTGGCTTCGATCATGCAAACCACACCCGCTAGAAAATGTACAGATTACGAAGACAATGAGTCTATTATCCCACAAATAGCGTAGATATCCTGGCGGCTGAAATTTTTTGGCCACGTTTTAGTAAGTTCCAGAAGAGAGTGCAGTTCTAGTTTGTAACGCTTGAAACTCTAAAAACCTGTGGCAGCACAAAGAGTCCCTTTTAGAGAAAACTAAGGAGAAAAATAGTCACACATCCCATACCAAAAAAATTGATTGAATTTCTCCCTTTTCATATTTAAAATTTCAATCCTTAAACGCACTTCTGACTAAACTTGGCATGCTCCACGGATATCAGCGAATGAACATCTACATTCAAAGCTCATTTGGTGGCCACATTGAATTCCACCAACTGAATTCCAACGTAATTTTATAAATATAAATTCGTGGATAGAAAAGCTAACGCAACAGTCTTCATTCTGATCGGCAAGCCCTTCACTGAACTGACACAGAACTTGTCCTCAGTCGTTATGAAGTTAAACAGTAAATTATTTCGATATCTCCAATTAACCTCTCTTTTCCTCGGTGAATACAACTGTTGATCGTGGAGAAAAGGTAATCAGATAGGGCTGTGGCCCTAAGTTAAAAAGCGAGTGAGGAAGGCGAAATAAAGGAGTGCAAGAAATGCACAGTTATAATCTCGAATACCAAGCAAACCACTGAGAGATGGGTAGGGTTCAGAGGACGATGATATTTTCGTACCTTGATTTTTCTCGCATTTTGATTCCTGTTATCCTTGATTTTTTTCTAGCCAGGCATGGGAACCTTTGCAAAGGGGCTTAATGGAGGGGAACTCAACTTACATTTCCGATCATGAGAGATTTCAAGTATCCTAGGTGTTTCAAAAATTAGGGCAATACTTTAGCAATTTGCAAATTTTGCAAACTCTTGCCTTCAATACATCACATAAATCCGATATAGGGTTTGTAAGAT